CGCTGGTGGAATGCTCCGAGGATCGCTATGGGCCAGACCAGCCAAAACAGCTCTATCGTTCCTGCCCGGCCCCAGCCTCGTGCAGCACGCTCTTCCTCCTTCCTCGCCGGCTGGCCCCCGCTCGCGCCTCGCTGAACCGTCCTCTTCTTCTCCCGACGCCCCCCCGACACTAGAATAAAATGTGGATTATTAGAACCAAACTCTGCATGTTGTACACAGGTCTGGTGTAAAAAGGCGACAGGCAACGAAGTGTACGTGTGAGAAGGATATTTACGCTTCGCATGACCTTTTTCTAAAACTTTCGCATCCTGTTTTCTGCACGCCGTCACATATGTTACCAGACTCAGCGTTAAATGGGGGGGGGGGGGGGGGGAGTGGATCTCGGACCCCCCCCCCACACACACACACACACACAAAATTTTGACGGGGGGTCTGTGACCCCCCGCTATACCTCTGGCGTTGACAAAACCACAACCGTAACTGTCGATTCTTACAAGAACACATGATCTGATTTCCCACTACTCAAGTTAGATCACGTCGCCAAGTGTTCTTGCTTCCCCGGGCTACAGTTGCACACTAGTCAAGTCGATTTTGTCTGTATCTACAGGGTGATTCAAGGAGAGGCCAGGCTCTTTAAATCGACCGCAAAATTTGGTTTCTTAACCTATCGCGCTACGATTTTGTGCAGCGTTGCCCACCGATGGTGTTTTTTTTTTTTTGTTTGTTTGTTTTTTGTAAAATTTGGAAGGAGCGAACTTACCTGAGGAAAAAGTAAAGAAAGAAAAAGGCTTAGCTCCTATGGAAACGCCGCGAAACCACCGGTATTCAAACAACACGGCGCCGTTTTGCACGGGAGACAAGAGGTGGCGCAAGCAGTCGCGACGCCAACTGCCGACAACGAACGAGCATATGACGCCGAGAGCCGGCGTCTTTAGCAGACAAGGAACTGCAGTTCCTTGTTGTTACCGCGCCTGCTTTTGTTTCTGCGACTGTCGCCGCCTGCGGAACGCGCGCCGCTCTTGAGTCGAAAAGATTGTCTGCTAAAGACGTCGGTTCTCCGCGCCGTATGCTCGTTCGTTGGCGTAAGGCCCTTGTATACTTCTTACGTTGGCGGCGTTCGTTGCGCTCTTTGGAAATTTTACAAAAAAAAATATATATATGTATATATATATGCACCATCTGTGGGCAACGCTGCACAAAGTCGTAGCGCGATAGGTGAAAGGGCAACTACTCCGGTCCATACTTTCGATTTTGGGATTATGACTGTTTTTAGTGCAGCCAACGTCTCTGAATTGCAAGGTGTAATTTTTTGCTCGTTATTGTGCGTAGTTTTAAAGATATCGACGCCTCAAAGTTTTGTTTGGGGCGCGGCCAACAAAACCGAAACTAGCCGCTCGAGGCCCCGGCCACACTGGAAATCAGCCGCTATGTGAACGTGACGTCAGGATCGTTCTCGTTCAACGAGTACCCAGGCCGAGCGGCACCTACCTCTGTTGCGCTAGCCGTCTAAAGATAGGAGGTAAGCTGATTTTGTTTTAATTCTGTATACGTGATAGTTATTCAGCACATCTAGCATGAGTTAGTGCGTATACCCAAAAGCTGGCGACTGGAAAACCTGTGAACACGTACGGTGCCGTTCTCGGCGGCTGCCGCCGTGCGTGCGCTATGCCGTACTCGTCGCTTGTATAGACCTTTCCAAAAAGTGCTTTCTGGCAGCCGCCTTTTTGCGAATTGAGCGACCCCTTTCGGCCAGAAATTTCTGCCACCCGCCTGAGCTGTGGAAACCCGGTCAGCGCGACTCCCCACCTGCATTGTGCATTCAGAGTTCGCTGGTTTTTCTTGGAAGTTTTTACTTTTTTCACCTGTTTAGGATGCTTACCCTTTGTGTGTTATCTTCCACTGTGAGAACCAGAGAATACCAGTGCTAGTAGCTTGCTCGGCCTTCGCAGGAAACAAACGAAGAGAGCAACCGTCAAGCAGCCCGCGACGCGGGCAGTTCGACGTTCTTGGAGGATTATTTTTGTTGAGATAACCTCCAAAAAGCCTTCCCGGTTATGTTCCGAGTCTTCGCGAAAAACAGCTGATAGGGTCGGGTCCGGGGTGTGGTGACGGAATAGACACGTTCCTTTATTTGCTTTGAAACTGTGCAAAAAAGCGGCTCTCATCTACATGTGCCCCAAAGCACACCGGATTGCGTCCGATCGTCGTGAAGTGACTATCGTCGACAGTGTATATTGGATATGCTGTGTTATTTGAGACCTTTCTCAATTCCTGTTCGGATAACGCGGCACCGTGGGGTACGTGCAATATATGTTGTTCGATTGATGAGACTCGTTGAATGGTTCATGCAGTGGGCGGAGAATATGCAGTTTGGATATCCTATGTGGTGACATATTTTTGACGGTTAAGACCTTTGTAGTTTGATACGACTGAGTGTATGGTGCCGTAAAATGATCAACATAAAATGAAACAAACCTTCCAGTTGCATTTGTTGTGTCACGCACGGACTCACCAAAACAGCTCTCATTTCTTTGTTTTGATTCACAAAAAGAATATAATGCATTCCTAAAAACCCTTAGACATTATGTTCACCATAGAACACAAAATAAAAAATACTCCACCAGCGTCCGGAAGTGCGCCTATGCAGGCTGCCACAGTACCCTGACTAGAAAACCCGCAGCTCAGTGCAGTCGGGCAACACTGACGTACCCTCTCAAAACCAGGGACGCGCGCTGTAAATCGCTTCGTTCGAGACTGCCGCTGGAAAGGTCTATACCCAAAAGCTAGCGACTAGAAAACTAGGCGCTAGGCCTAAATTGTCATCGGGGCTCCGTGGATGGAGCGGCGTTGCTCTACGCCGCGCTGCCAGGGACGTACAGTACTGGGGGCCCTCTCGCTTTCGCGCTGCGGGTCAGTTCCAGACACGAAGCTTTGAGGCTCTCCGGCGCGGGCCGCGGCGCCCGAACACACGTGTGCTGGGCTGTACACGACTGTTTTTTCGTTCTTTTTTCCTCGGGCGCGTAAAAGTCGAAGTCCAAAGTCCACTCGTCGAACAGGGTTCACCCACACCTTCTCCAATTTCCGGTCCGTTGGAAACTAATGAAAAAGCACCTCGGTGTTGCGCAGCGGGTTGTTTGAGCAGCCCATAGCGCTACAAGTTGCACTCGGCATCTTTCGAGGAACAGCTGGGCAGTCTTGGGCGCGCCGAGTTGCTCGCTAAAACGAGTCTTGGAGTCCTCACAAGCAAATAAACAAAAGGCTGTACCAAAGCTACACGGGCTACATATAAAAGTAACGGCTAAACACGCCAATCACAAGCCGAAGTAGCGGTGGTATCGGCTCAAAAAAGCGCACTGCGCGCAACGCCCGGACCGGATGAAAAAAAGAGAACGATACTGACGTCACAGCCCAATGTTGCTTTAGCGATCGGCAACCCGCTGGCCGCCCGCTAAAAAGCAGCGGCTCGCGGCGGGTCGCATTTTTATTATCGGCATTAGTTGAGAATGCGGCGTCCCACGGACGTAATATTTTGGCTGAGGTCGTATTTTTGTGTCACTACAGCGATACCAGTGATTTATTTCATTTTGAGTTTTGGCCGGAGAAATTTCGCGGTCAATTTAAAGAGGCTGGCCTCTCCTTGAATCACCCTGTAGAACAAACTCCCCTCCCTCCCTCCTTTCTTTCCTCTCCCCCCCCCCCCCCCCCCCCCCCCCCCCCCCCCCCGGTACGCCACAGTGCCTACAGCTGCGGCGTTTGCTCTTCTGCGACATCCGATAGCAATTTTAAGAATAAAAGACCAAAAACGCATGAATCGACAGATTCAAATTGATGCGTGAACAGCCCCACGAGCAAGCAGGCTGGCGAAGGGGCCTTCTCAGTGTTGCAAATATTTTGAGTTAGATGACGCAACGTGTTGCACTAAACTTGACTTTGGGGCGTAGCGACGTAGCCTAGGAGTTTTCGAGGCCCTTTGCCACCCTTTACTGCACCAGCAGTCACCAAGTGGAGATGGTAGGCATGGTGGTGTGGTTGGCGTCGTTGAGAGAGAGAGAGAGAGAAACAATTTAATCGGAACACCCAACGAGGTAGGGAACACCAGACATGGATGGATGGATGGATGAATAGGCTGAGCCCTTTGGATCGGGCGGTAGCTTACGCCACCTAGCCAGTTTGTTCTACCATTTAAGCTTAGAATATTTAAATGCGAAATCTATATTCACTTCGCAGTGCAAAGAAAGTTAGGCTATGAAAGCCCCTTGCCATCAGTGAATAAGAAAATACATATTTTTCTCTCGATTTCTGCCACCATTGACTTAATATTTGCTTGGTAATCTCTACAGTCTTGAAATCCACTCTCCCTTCGCTGTCTCTAAAACCCAATGACTTTATTAAATCTATGTTGTCTTCGGTAGGCATAGGGTGAAGCCCTTTACAGTAGAGTATCAAGTGCTCAGCCGTCTCGTCCTCCTCTCCGCAAGCAGTGCACACCACGGTGGTGCACACTGTATCCATTTCCTGGTACTTCACTCTGTATGTTCTGGTTCGCAGAACACCCGTCCTCGCCTCAAACAACAATGAGCTTCCCCTAGAATTGTCATAAATGCTTTCTTTGGCAATAACTGTTTTGTTTAATCTATAGCTTTCCAGAGCTTCACTTTCCAGAGTGACAGCGGCTCTGCAGAGGCTGCAGAGTGAAGGTATGGTGCGACATCTACCGTAGAAAGGAATAACTAGGACCTCTTCTTGTGGCATAGTTTCCAGACTGGATATGCAAAAGAACTGATAAAGCCAAATATGACTTAGTTGAGTTCAATTAGCCTATGTAATGTATTGATAAAATAAGTATTACAATAATATTTTAAACAATTGACCATTTTTTTTACATTCAGCATAAAAATGTTGAGGAAATAAAATAGCTAGTTTTGCCTTATAGCATTTCTTGGCTGCTGTTGTTCCAAACTCAGACGCAACGTCCACTACGATGATAGCAACCTTCTGCTCAGGTGATTTTCTATTTCCTACTCCGAGCCTACCTTTCCGATGGGCGACCTAGCGGTTCGTTTGGTTCGGTGTGCTTCGCACGCGTGCAAGTGAAAGTTACATTACATCACCACAGTTTAGCATGGACTTTGTGCAACGACTTTGTGCTAGTAGTTCAGCTAGAAAGCTCCGTTATCACCTTAGCGGCGAGTATAATCTCTAGTTCGTTAGCGAGGCAAGCCGGCAAGTAGCCTAGGCCTCTCGCCGTCCTTTTCGCGCTTGGGGAGAGAAGAAAAAATAAGGTACTGTTGTATTTCTTGGATGATCTCTTACGTTCGTTGACTTATTTGAAGCGTTACTTCATTTGTTCAACATAGGTTTCCTTACTTGCTCTGGTTATTACGTTTGTTGCCATGGGCGCGCGCTCGCGTCTGCTATCCTGAGCCTCGTGTATGAATGAATGAGTTACTGAATACACTCGGCCCTTCTCGCTACGTTAGTTTCGCGATATTTCCCCTTCAGTGTGTGCTAGTAGGGTTACTTTTGACATTGTTGCTGGGAACAGGTTTCCGGCTCGCGGTTGTGTCATAAATTGGTTTTAGTCGGCGCTTATGCAAACGTTGGAAAGTGTTGGACATTGCGTGATAAATGACCTTGCGGGTGTTGCGGTAGTTGCGGTAGTTGCCGTGGTGAACTAAAATTGTGTTTTAAGGTCAGGTGAATGATAACGCTGCCCCAGTTTCTAAGGCTTAAATATAGTTCATTTGGAGTCCTCTGATTTTGAGTTCGCCGTACGCGCCGGATTCGTGGAATGATATTTTCTCTGGCAGCGGCATTTCGTTTGTTTCGGATGATGGGTATTAAACTATTTGCTTGCTGACTGTGATACGGAAATTGAAACATTTCGTGTTTTCCATTGTTTTAAAAAGTTGTGCGTTAAGTTTGTTACACAACATAATTTCTTATGTTGCTTCTATCATAAATCCATTCTTCCATTGCTGCCTTCAAGAATTCAGCATTATGGGCAGCAGAGCAGAATCTCGCCACCAGATGGAGTTTTTATTTAATGAGTTCTGGATTTCTGGGTCCTGTGTTTAGGTCAAAGATTAATCATGCGCTCGCATACCTTGGGTCCTGCGTTTTCTGATAAATCGGTTAAAACCTGAAAAACACCTGCCTGTGAAAATATTGTGGATTCGGAGTTATCCGAAAAAAACTTAAATTTCGGGACTGCCAGTTGTAAAAACTCTACTGCTTTTTTTTTGGAATCCCGAGACAACTTTGCAATTCTGTTTCACAAAAGAATGTATTTTGAACCTTTACTACAAAATGGGAGTGACCTCCCTAGGACAGTAGTCCAACACGTCTGACCTTTCTAGCCGTTCAACTTCGGGTCTTCCTTTTGAACAAGGCTTCTGCTTTAAAAAATGTGTTGTCTGCTGATCTTGTCTGAGCCCATGACACTAAGCATTCTATAGTTGGTGGCAGGTCAAGAACGAAGTAGGAGCTCCTCCCACCTCTTTCCACTTTAGTAGAGCAAACGCTGGAGAAGAGGCGACCTCCTCTTCACTGTTCGTTCCACTGGAGTGGAAGGGGGTGGCAGGAGCTTCCACTTCGTTCTAGGCCTGTAACTGACTATAGAAAATCCACAATTTTGTGGACATTCTACTAGTTTCGAAAGCGGAAGCTCCAAAAAAATACTTTGAGGTAAAAAATGAACTCAGAAAGTGCAGAATCCTAGTTTTAGGATATGAATCCTGCCAGTTAAAAGTGAAACTTTTAAAAATCTTGATTACCAATCATTGGGCCTTTTTAAAGTTTTACATCTGTAAAACTTTAAAAAGTTTTACAGATGTAAAACTTTAAAGTTTTACATCTTTAAAGTTTTACAGATGTAAAATTTTGTTTTCTTTCAGAGTAATTGGCTACTTCCTTTTGTATTGCTTGTGGTATTGAATAGTTGGAGGCTAGCAACCTCTATAATCCAAAGAATTTGATTTAAGATATTGAAGCTTGCAGTGTCTGTCTATGAATGCTTGACTAGGGGAATTTGCTGGCCAAATGTGTTAGCACATCACAGCTCAAAGCATGTAGAGTAAAAGCTTGCACTGCAGAATCTAGGGATCCTGGGTTCAATCCCCCTTCCTGCTGGTTTTGGTATGGACAAGCATTGTTCTTGCAGGGGATTATGTAATTGCTACTGCATAATGCACATTAAAGACCCCAGAGTTGCTGGTATCTGAAACACAAAGTTGAGGCCAAAGTTTGCGGAGCATGCTGACTGGACTGTTGCGGTGATGACCTCGTGCGGGACGAGATGTCAGTTAGCCAAACTTGTTGCTCAAATTTCACTGAGATTGTGGAACACACGATTGTAGTGAAGTTCATCGGAACGCGCACAAGCAACTCCGTGGGGCCCGTCCATTTAACGGCTGCACCGATGACGTTTGTGACAGCGTGCCCCTGCATCTCTACGCCTTGTTAGAGTCAATGCTGTCTCGATTGTACCTAAGCGAGCTGTGTACACTCCAAACTTTCTTGTCGCTGAACTCGTCGTTTGTGAAAGTTATTGGTGACGACAAAGTGACGTTTTGCCACTTTGGAAAGGGGTTATTTGAGGCTCAGATCTTTGTTTCCAGATCGAGGCAACGATTCAACTTCGAGATGTGGTGGATCCATAGGCGGTTTAGGCAGCTTTTGAGCTCATCTTCCGCCATTGTGAACAACTGTACCGTGGTCACCGAGAGACTATTTGGGCAGCGGCGTTCGAAGTGTTTCCGAGATAAGGGGGCAACGGAAGTTGGCCAGGAAAACTGGGGAGGGGCGGGGGTCGACGTGAATGAAGAAAGAAGTTCCCTTCTGTCATTTTTTTATTTCATATTTCTGCAATGCCTGGAGCTCCCCCCCCCCCCCCTCACCCACCCACCCACCCAACCCCAATACCCCTGTTTCAACGCCACTGGTGAGTGGCGTTGTTCATTGTCGTCCAACTGAGTGACGTCAATGAACAGCACAGTATGCAATCCACCTTTCTCAAAATAATGGTTTAGGAGGTTCGGGAATTAAACAACAGTTTGCGTACGTTCCATGAACTCACAAGCGGTCATGACAGACTTCCAAGCAAGAGGCTCGTAGTGTGCAGGCACGTTCGGTGGCGCCCTTTTATAGTTCCTACCCTTAACATCAGGGTCAGGATTATCATTTGTAAATGACTATGTTAGTAGTGCATGTTTGACTATAAGTATGATGGTGTACGATGGAAGCTTGGGGTTATCGGGTTGATAAAACAGTACCATCAATCTTGGCAGTCTGACATTACTCTTATTTCAAGCAACGAAAGCAGAATTAATCCCAGTTTGACTACTTTTGGAAAACTGACCACACAGACACTTTTGGTTGTCTACATCACCAATAATCACTACTTAGAAAAAAAAAAAAAGAAAGCGAAATGATTTTATTCTTTTTGAAAGGAAACAACTGCCCAGAGGCAAAACCCATCCAATGGCAGACCTATACTCCATTCACCCTTGAGCTGAGACTAGAAGCTTCACCTTCAGTGCGAGCTCACTGGCTTCCGCAGTGCTTTGGCTGCGCATTCACACTTGTGTTAGCAGGGGTGGAAAGCTCAGGCTGAAGGCGGAGCTTCTATACTCCGTTTCACCTTATGTTGTACTGCCGCGAAGGCTTGAAGCACGAGCTCATAGCGTTGGCAGCTGCCTTTAATGCACGAGAGCTTGTGCCGCCGAGATGTGCCCCAGAGTAAGGAGCTCACGCTTGTAGCCTTTCCTGCAGTACATCATAAGGTGAAATAGATTATAGTCTCAGCCTAAGGGTGAACGGAGTATAGCCATGTTGGGCAACACTCTTCTCAAAGCCAATAGGCCAAGAAACAGGATAAGAATGGCAGAAACTTTTTTCACAAAATCCTTTTTTATCAGTGGAAATAAGGGCAATATCAGGCTGTCAACTTTGATGGTGTTGATTTAAGAATGCAATTATTCCAAGTCTCCATCGTGCTTTTTAGACACCATACAACTTCTTTGTCCCAACTGATAATCCTGATTGTGACATCACACATATAAATAGGGTTTATTTATTTATTTATTTATTCATCCCCTCAGAGCCCGAAGGCATTATAGAGGGGAGTGGACACACACATCTAATTGCACACAAAGACAAACAGTAATTAGGCAGGTAAGCATAAAAATCCAAAAACAGAACATTGTTAAAACAAAACACTGTCAACCAAAATCCAAAAAATATTCGCAAAGTGCAGCTTTGAATCCGGCACTCTCGGCTATGCTGGCAACAGGCGCGGGAAGGCGATTCCAGTCCAGTGATGTCATGGGTTCTTCATTTTCGGATTTTATTTTTATTTTTATGTCCCTGACATCAATTCCTGAACATAGAAATTTTTTTTTTTCCTTCCTAAAATTGTTTGAGACGGACCTTTAAATGGAAAAGTGCACAAAAGAAAATCCCTAAGCCGGATGGCCCCAACAGGAAAATGGGCAAAACCCGTTGAAGACTTCTGGGAGCTTTGAACCCCTAAACTTGTGGAGCAAAAAAAAAGTAAGGGCAACCCTAAACGAGGACACACAAAGGACAACGGGGACACAATCATCGGAACACGATAAAACTTAACAGACGTTACAATAGTCGTTGAGAAAAATAAAGCCGGAAAACAAAGAACCCTTAAACCACGATCGTCTCCGTGCGCTCTCTTCTGCTGCTCTTGTTCAGTGCCTAGGAAGTGAGCGGGATTTTTCAACCCTTCAGGGAAAGAAGTCACGAAGATGAATGGATCTGTCGGTTTATGAGAAAAGAAAACTTTGCGGGAATCTTTCGACTCTACGTCGTAACACTACGTCATACACTACGTCGTAACACCAAGAATCTTTGTGTTTGACGAGACTAGCAACACTGGCTAGCTGTCTTATTGCACCATAGTTATGTCTCATTAATATGGACACCACTCTTCATTGGCACAAATTTCGAGGACAAACTAAGTAAATATGTACGTTTTTGTCTCGTTAATATGGAAAAAAAAAAAAAAATCTAAAATTTGTGTTTAAAATGTGTAATAGTGACAATCTTTGTATTTTTTTTTTTCTCTTGATTATTATTTTTTTTGGCTCTGTTGCTGCTTTCTGTAGGCAGTCAGGAACCCGTCCAGCTGTACCTGACAGCTTTTTTCCCTCATCGCCACCATCTTATGGTGGAAATAAACATTATTATTATTATTATAACTCACATTGGATGATTTTGTAGGGTATGGAGGTGTCCCTATTGATGAGACATTACTGTATTGAAATTGTTTGTATAGAGTGAAGACACCAGACGGTCATTTTCAGGGTGGGAATTAAGGAATATGAAACCCAGTGAAACAAAATAAGTTATGAGGGTATCACATGATCATACCTCTTGCTTCTCTACTATCTTAACTATGTCTCTTTATCCTTGGTTTCCTATAAATATTTGGTCGTTCATATTGCCTGCAATATCTGTAGCAAAATGCGTGTTGAGTAGTCATTTTAAGAATTAATGGTCTCAAGGCAGTTATGAAATATTAATCAGAACTATAACCAAATGTAAAAAAAAAAAAAAAAAAAAAAAAAACTTTGGTGTTGTTGGTTGGGATGTTAATGACACTTTTGGCTACCCAACATATTTCGTTGGTGTGGGCAGGTACATGCATTGCAAGCCTACCAAAGTTACATTCACATGCATGCTGCTCATGTTTGCTTGCATGGGGGCATTAGCTTGCATTTGTGTATAATTGGGGACAATCAGTGGCGTCACTAGGGTCAGCAGAACCCAGGGATTCCCCCCCATCCCAGCTAGTTGCCCGCCTCCAACCCCCCCGCCACCCCCCCCCCCCCCCCCCTCCCCGTCTCGGGGGCTTTCCGCAACAATCCCCCCCCTCCCCCCCTCCGCCCCTCTTGTGGCCCGCCGCGACACCCGCGGAGTGCTGCGCCCGGGGCGGTTCTCCCCCCCTCTTGTGATGCCACAGGGGACAACATTGTGGCATTTCTAAGCATTGAAGAGTGCATGTCCAGAGCTTTGACCGGCATTAAATTTGCACGAGCACCTAGAGCGCTGTAGACTTTGCTGCACACAAGAACAGCATTGTGAAGCCACGAGCATGAAAGCTGAGCAAGGCTGTAAAGCTGTCACACACACAAACAAGCCACTCTGGCAAACAATTGAACCAGCAACAGGAGGAAAAAGGCAAACAGCAAACAAGTTGTTGGGCATTCAGGAAAAGCTTGGAAAAAGTTTAGAAATAAGAGCTAATACAGAAGCACTCCAGTTTCTCTTTAAGGAGTAACTCTTTCTGAAGAGCTATCCTGGTTTGGAGACAAAAGAAGAACATATTTAACTCTGAAAAATCGTGATTCTGTAAACACTGCACTCATCACCGCTGAGATGTGTGCAGAATTCACAGCAGACATGCCAGGAGTCTGTCTCTGCTGACAAACCTTTGTTTTTGTACATTTAGTACGCCATTTTAGTTCAGATCTTCTTCTAATGATGCTGTATGGATAATCTTACAATGTGCAATATTTACAGCTCCATCTTTATTTTCTGTGTCTTTTAGCTGTTTGCTTACAATGTGGCGAGTTGAGACGGAGGAGGCGCCGTGTAGCCGAGCTTTCGGTTGCACGTCAAAAGATCCCCAGGTGGTCCAAATTAATCCTCAGTCCTCTGCTGGGGCGTGCCAGATGCCCGTCGTTGGTTTGGCACGTAAAACCCCCAAATTTTGTCGCGATTTGAGAAAAACGGGAAGACTTCCAAACGTCTCAGATAGCTCTCGGTCGATGTTTGAAAAAAGTATGGTGCTAAGACAAGCTGATCCACAAGCAGAGTCTGGTGCCCAGCCTAGTCCTGATTGACTGCACGTGTCTGCCAATATGACTCTTGATGCACCAATACCTATCTACTCCATGTCTAGGAGCATCAAAGATGACACTGCATCTCATACACAAAGGTGGCACCCAAGTAGGCGCACATCAAATGTGTGGGAGACAACATGCTGTTGGAGGAGCCTTTAGTTTTCTGCAGGTGTCTTGCGCATGTATTCCTTTCCTTGGCTGTGACATACATTTCCAAACATTTGCAAGGTTGCACTGTAACGTATGCTCCTCTGATTTGACAGCCTTGTAACTTGCACTCGGTGTCTGTCCCATTTGAGAGCCCACCCTGCCTTCAAAGCATACCAGATTGCACCTGTAGCGCCTTCTCAATTGCATTGTTTTCTGCTTGGTTTCATGCAGTTCTGCAGAGAGCGGACTTCATGCCGTGCCGTGATTAATCCAGGCGGCCACTGTTTCTCAACCATTGCCCTGCGCACAGACCATGCACCGAGGGCCACTTTCGTGCCGCGTCCATCTGTGGCAGCTGCAGTCCATTCGACCGGGCAGCTGCCTCTCCAGACATACGCAGCGAGCATGGTTCACCCACAGGGGCACCTCATGGCCCAGCCACCCAAGCTGCACAATTGTGACGGACCACCGTCGAGTTCTGGGCCAGTTGCGGCCTTCTCACCAGCCGCTTGCACTGGTGTTATATCGGCCACTGTGGGTGCCTTCAAAGAAACTTTCGGAGAAGGAGTCGTCAAAGGTGGAAGGAACGGTGAAGGCACTCAAGGAAGCCGAGCATCCTGCGGTGGATATGGCAAAGCCGGCCGCAACAGCCCCCGCCCACCCTATCCCCAAACGCTCGCTTTTGAAGCGGATATGGGACGAGTTGGTGCACTACTACCATGGGTTCCGTCTGTTATTTATTGACATTCGGGTGTCAAGCCGCCTCGTGTATCGAGTGTTGAACGGCGACAGCCTTACGCGACGTGAGCACAAACAGGTGAGGGTTTGAATTCAACATTGGGGGATTTTATGGGTGCATGGCCGGATTTTGTGGGTGGGACTGCATCATCGACTTGTTTTCATCAGCAGTAATGAAATCGATTACAAAATTAAACAGATTCATGTGTTATTGTATAATTTCTTTTTATCATATAGGCCAATGTCAGCTATTTGTGCCTAAGTAATGGTCAATATTGCAGACTTCTTGGGTTCTTAATATTATTGTCAGTCTACTCAAAGTAGTGAAATATTCTTTGCAACCTTCTTTAAAGGGAAGCTGAAACATTTCTTTTAAAAAAAAATGAGATAGAGGTTGATTCTAGCGTAGGTTTATCCCATAAATCTCAATGTCACATTTGTTTTCCCCGAAGTTTTAATGAAATGCGAGAAAACATGAAAAACCTCCGACTAGTCCTGACGTCATAAGATCATCTTTTGGCCGCCAGGCACATGTCGCTCGAGGGCCGCGCATGCAATTACAAGCTTGCCAGGTATATTCCCTCGCACTGACACCAGTCGTGACGTCTTTTCCTGCCCTTTTTAGAAATAGCAATAGTGCGTGTACAGTCAGCACGAAATGAAACCCAAACGCTGGAACGAGTGGCCGTTGGTACAGGCTGCTCCACCTGGAGGGTCCCTGAGAACTAGTGAAAATGCGCCGGGGTGCGAGGGTGCGGATCCTACTAAGATGAGCTCGAGCCTCGCGCGGCGCGTCTGGGAGTTCCGCGTTTCGCCGGTGGCGCGCTGTAAGCACTGTCACATCCGATAAAAACAGCACTGTCACTCGCTTTGTGTATCAGATTCCCAGCGATATCTCTTCAGCGTTGTCATTCATTGTTGCTTTGTGTATCGCAAGGGCGAAATGAAAGTTGAAACATTTCGTGCACAGAACACCCGTAGTGCTTGATGACGTGTCACCGGAACCACACTGGGGCTCTGGTGAACAATGTGCCACGCGCGGTTTCTGAGAAATGGTGAAACGTCATAAACGCGAAATAATATTCGTTTATTCACACGACCATACTCTTTATAAAAAAAAAAGTGCTGTAACAGACCAACGCGGATGCCTCAGTTTTTATGAGCAATGCGCAAGGAATTGCTCGCTGACGCTCTCTTTGGTGACCACCGATATGCGAGGCGTATCAATTCCGGAGTGGAATGCATTCATCACCCTGTCTTAGCAGGGTCTATCGCAAAGAGCTATAGCCAGGTTAAGCGGCCGCCCGGTGTCGTGCGGGCGACATTGCGGCGACAGAAAAGCACCCTGAGTGACGGCGCTTACAGCGCACCACCGGCGGAACGCGGAAGTCCCAGACGCCCCGCGCGAGGGTTGAGGACATCTTAGTAGGACCCCGCACCCTTGCACCCAGGTGCAATTTTCATTGGTTCTCAGGGGCCCTCCAGGTGGAGCAGCCTGTATCGATGGCCACGCATTCCGGCATTTGGGTTTCATTCCATGCTGACTGTACATAGCTTTGACAGGCACTGAAGGTGTGTGATAGCGGGGATTCTGAAAACTTTTTGTGACGTTAGGCTCCGGGAAGGAGGGCCGTTAGCAGTAGTTTTGAAAATTATTTTCTGCAGCTTCCATGCACTAAATTAAAAGGTAATTTCGATATTCGAGACCCTGGAGGTCAAATGAAGACGATTTAAGTGCATTTCCTCAAATACAAAACCGCTTCAGCTTCCCGTTAAAACAAGCAATTTTTTTTTTTTTGTTAATGAGGGTTTAGAGTACTATGAAAAGAAAAAAACTTTTATTGTGCTTCTTTTAGCCCTGGGGCTAAGTTGGAGGCACTGGAACCACTATAAAAGATACTATATTGGTTAGTTAGGTAGTTAATTAACTAAAATGTTTTAATTAACTTTCAAAATATTTGGGGCATATTGTGGTTAGAAAATCTATCCTCGAGCTCATTATAGTCTAGCTGTGGGTTGAAATTTTGATAAAAAATTTGTAGTGGGTACTAAGGGGCGAGAAATGCAATTCATGCATTCATTCATTCATTCATTCATTCATTCATTCATTTAATTATACTGTCAGCCCTTGCACAGGGCTATTACAGGGGTGGAAAAAAAGACAACAACAAACAAACATGTACTCTTACATACAAGCATACACAATGGTTACGAGTATATTGAGACGCTTCGTAATTTCGGCAGTTTACGAAACGGATCACTTCGTAGTTATGAAACATTTCTTTACACAAGCTATAGGGGTCTTACTTTATAGCACATTCAACAATATCAGTGATACGCCCCAGAAATTCATTTAGCGCCGTAGATGACACAGTGGAATGAGGTAACATATTCCAATCTCTAATAGCCCTCGGAAAAAAACTGTACTTAAAGCAATCGTTCTGATGGATTAGGAATGTACTATCGGCCTCAAATGAAATGCAAACAGCGGAGCGCATGGCCGTCGGTACATGCTGCGCCTCCGGGAGGCCTCTTGAAACTGACAAAAACCACGGGTTGGAGAGTGGGGCGCTGCGGGGGTCTGTGTCCTACTTTGATGTGTTTTACGCTCACACAGCCCAACCCAAGCTTTGAAGAGGCGCAACATGTACCGACGGCCATGCGCTCCGCTTTTCGCATTTCATTTGAGGCCAATAGTACATGCTATGACGATGTCTTGAGGATTCGGTGGAGCAAATTTCAAAGTACTCAGATTTCTTTATCTTTACGCAATTATGAATAATATGAAAAAGAAATTCTAACCTTTCATATTTCATTCTTGATTCAAATGTAGGAAGATTGGCGAGTTCACATAGTTTTGTGGGGGAATGATCGTGGCTGTATTTATTAAAAATAAACCTGGATGCGAGTCGCTGAATTTCCTTCAGCTTATTGCAATTTGTATCGGTATATGCGTCCCAAACAATTTTAGAATACTCGATGACGGGTCTTACCAGTGTCATATAAGCCAGACTTTTTATTTCAGGAGTTGCAATAGCGAGGTTTCGTCGACGGCACCACAGTGCTTTATTAGCTTTGATGCATACGTTATTAATGTGAATGTTCCATTTTAGATCAGGAGTAAATATTAAGCCTAAGTATTTATGTTCTTTTACTCTCTCAAGCTCAGCACCCGCAATGCAATAATTATAAGCCAAAACTTTTTTTTTTTCTCGTAATAGACATGACTGATTTTTCAGGGTTTAGCACCATTTGCCAATTGTTACACCACTTCTTAATATTTTCTAAGTTACAGTTTAATTCGATTTGATCGTCTGATGTTTCAATTTTATTGTAAATCACAATCGTCGGCAAATAGTCTGATTGGAACTGAGATGTCATTGCGCAGATCATTAATAAAAATCAAAAATAAGAGGACCCAAGACACTCCCCCGGGGCAGGCACGTAGCCAGGACCCCTCCCCCGAAACAAGATCCTGGCTACGTGCATGCCCTGGGGTACGCCTGAAACAACTGGGGGCAGAGTCGATTTGCTTCCCCCAACTTTAACATACTGTCCCGGTGATGAAAGATAAGAGGAAAACCACTTCGTGATGGCTGTATTTTTAAAGATGGCACTGATTTTCAATAACAATTTTGGGTGAGATACTTTGTCAAGCGTCTTTGCGAAATCCAGAATTACTATATCAGTTTGACCACGACAGTTTATCCTTTGATAGAGATCATGAACAGTTTCTATGAGCTGGGTAGTCGTGGGAAGACCTCTGCGGAAACCATGCTGTGATTTAAATAATATATCATAATTTTCAAGGTAAGCCAGTAGATGTTTAGATATGATATGCTCAAGAAGCTTAGAGCATGTACTAGTAAGTGAAATGGGGCGAAAGTTACAGACGTCAATAACACTACCACTTTTGTGGACGGGTATATTTTTTGCTATTTTCCACGCGCTGGGAAAGAACCGCTACTTGTAGACAATCTAAAGATGATACTAAGGTATTTTGAAACCCACTCAGCATACCTTTTTAAAACTTCATTAGGAATTTCGTCTGACCCTGGGCTCTTTTTTGTGTCTATGTTAAGTAGAAGGTTAAAAACACTTTGCTCACTTATATCTAAATCATTGATGGGAGGATTGTAAGAATCGCTAAAGCTTGGCAGATTTCCATCATCGTTGGTGAAGACTGATGAAAAAAAGTGCTGAAACTTTCAACGCTCTGCTTTTCATTCTTTGGATCAGGGGCACGCTGTTGGAACTTAGCCGGAGGTTTGACGTACCGCCAGAACTTCTTAGGTGCCTCGCTAAGGAATTTTTTAAGTGTTATATTATAAAACCTCTCTTTAGACTCTCCAACTAGCCGCCTCAGCTCCCGACTCAATCGCAAAATGCAAGTTTTTTTTTCTACACCTGTACCATGCGAACTCGCTCGTTTCCGCTTCAGTGTCTCAGTTGCCTTTTTGCATGAATTATTTTCCTTGTAATCCAAGGATTTTTGTTCCTGATTTTTTTAGGGCTCTTTGGTATAAATCGCTCAGCACACCGTATACACTCCGTGCGGGAACTATAGGGGGCGCTCTGAAAAACGCGCGCAGCGCCGCTAGCGGAGGAGCTGGCGTTCGACTGTGAGGCGCGCTCAGCAGCCTGCGGCGCCTTTTCGCATGCCAAGCTGTGGCGGCGGAAGCGCGCACGGACGAAACTTTTGCTTTTTGAGCCGATAAGTTGAGGGTGACATTGCATAAGTGCTGGGGCAGAAGGGCATTTAGCTGTTCTCCACTTCTTATATATTGAGTTTGAGTCGTAATTAGGGGTAATTTCTCTAGTTGCGGCCGAAAAAGGAGTTGGAGTAATTTTCCGAAAAACAAAGACGGCCGCCACCTTAATTGCTCTGAGTGGGAAATTTATTTCGCTCGTCGCTGTAAACCTAGGGCTGCTGCAAAGATGATATTTGGAGGCGAGTGAGATGTTCACTAAGTTTGTGCACGAAGAGTGCCAAGTTTCTTTAAGACAGCAGGTGTGAAAGTTATGTTTCTAACGAATAAAGAAATAAAGCTGTACGGGATATCCAATATTGGACCCTAA